GGCGTCAGGGCTCGTGATTGGTTGATTTTTCTGAGCCTCAGAGAAGGAAGGGGCCTACTCCTGGCTCACACAGCCAGTGGGTGGTAACAGAAGCAGGAGGAAGGCCCCGGCCCCACCTGCCTTTGCCATGGCTGCTCCACAACAGCTGAGTGAGCCAGAGAATGCCAAGGGGATCATTCTGTCTTTACTGTCTGAGGTTATCGGACCCCCTCTTGGTATGTACCCGGTGGATGCCGGCTCATGTGCATATAGTGGCCCCTGGGAGAGTGTAAGCTCTTTGAGGACAAGGACTATGTTTTTGCCTCTTTGTATCCTCAAAGGTGAGCACAGTGCCTGACAAATGGTAAACTCTTCCTGGGCGATTGTGGACTGACGTAGCCTTAATCAATCAATCATTTATTAATGCATTTATTAATCACTCACTGTATATGCCAAGCACCATGCTAAGTTCTGGGGACACAAGGAAAAAGCAAACACAAAAAACCCCCACAGCACTTACAGTATAGGACTGGTAAACCTGATTGATTGATTGATTGATTAGAGAAAGAAGCTCCTATAGGGCAAGTGCCTGAGGTGACCCGGCTGGTGAGCAGCAGAGCTGGGATCGAAGCCCAGATCGGCTGACTTCCAGGCCAGTAGGGCTTGGAGGCCCTATCTGTGGGCACCATCTCGCAGTCCCCTATAGGGAGAAAGAAGAGCCCCAAGCCTCCAGGACAGGCCTTCTTCAGAGAAGCCCCAAGTCCCCAGGGCCCGGGAGGTACGGGAACCGCATGGTGCTTTGCACACATTGGCATGGTGAATCACAGACTAGTCATACTCTAAGGCCTCTCACGATCCTCTCAATCTTCTTGTGGTGGTTTTGGCTTCTCCCAAATGCCCTCTCCTCAGGGAACAGGGGTCCCAAAGAAGCCTCCCAGGAACTGTAGGCTGACTTCTATCTGGCCTACCTGTGCCACGCAGCCAGGGGGTGGACCATTCCAGAACCTGACCAAACTGAACCTTGCGCTCTATCCTTCTGCTCCCCCAGGGGAGTCCATCCCTTCAATGGCGCCTGCATAGGGCTTATAATAATAGCTACTGTTTATATAATGCTTTAACATTTACAAAGCATGTATCTCACCTTCATTACACCTCGGTGAGGTGTTATTATCCCCGTTTTGTGTGTGGAAAGCTGAGACACAGAGAGGTTAAAGTGACTTGACCAAGGTCACATAGCTAATACACGTGCATCAGAATTTGAACTCAGGTCTTTCTGCCCCCAGGTTCAATATTCTTATCTCACCGCCCATTCAAATCCCCACATCTAGAACTTTGCACCTTCCGCCCTCCTCCAACCTCTCTCTATGCCCTAGGCTAGTACCCCCAGCCTCTGGGCCACCCTTGGGCTGAGGAAATGGCCCCTCCGAGGCCCTGGTCCTCCTCTCATCTTCCTGCTCCTCCTCACCTGTCCCCTTCCCAAAGCATGGTCCAATTCCCTAAGGATTCACTGCCATCTTGTGGATGTTATCAGAATTCCCCGCCTTGGCCACATTGTGTCCACATCTGCAACAGTGACAAGCTGGAAGGTGTCCAGAGGTGGGTGAAAAGGGCTAAGGATTGGACCACTGAGGCAGCCAGATACAGTGGGAAGAGGAGTCAAAGGACCTGGGCTCAAATCCCCACTTTGCCATTTGGTTACCTCAGTGACCTTGGGTAAGTGCCCTCAGTTTCCTCCCCTGTAAAATGAGAGGATTGGACCAAATGAAGTCAACAGTCCCTCCTGGCTCTAGAGCTTGGGCCCTTTGCTCCAATGAAGGGTTAGGCTTGGGTTATCAGTGGCCTGGGTTCAAGCCCCACCTCTGACACATTCTGGTTGAGTGAAGATGAGTTAATCCCTTAACCTCTCAGGACACCAGACAAAGATCTAAGATTCTAAATTGCAGAACAAGGGCTCCTCTGAGTTTCCTCCCCTAAGAGTTACCTAAACCAAGGAAACCACAGGTCCTGCCCAAAACAAAAAGGATTCATTCACAGAAGTCAGAGCAGGAACTAGGGTGGAACAAAGGGGTTTTGGCCCAGGGTGCCAGATCTAGAGGGTATTGAAAGTGCTTGCAGTCCTGGTTGCTCCTCTCCCTCACTCACTTCCCAGCTATGCTTACCTTTCTCTCAGCTGGCCTTGGAACTGCAGCCCACATATGGTCCCTGTTTTCCTCACCCCCACCATCCAGGATGGACCAGGGGTGTGCTTGTAAATATTTAATAACTGGCTCTCCAGGGGGAGAAATGTACATTTAACTCATTTTTAATTTTTAATCTGCACTGTTAACATTTGCTCTATCACTTTAAGTCTAGACAATCAACGAAATAATAAATCAAGCTCTGATTTGTGGCATTTGCCGAGTTCCAAGATCAAAATGCTCCCGCTGAAAATTTAACAATCAGCTTTTGTGAGCTGGTTAGAGCTGGCTCCAGCACCCCCTTGAGGCTCCCCCTGACTCCACTCATCTGAAGACATCTTTCATACCACTCCTGCTCAGTCTCAGAAGAAGCCTCCCCCCACAGCTCGATGTAGCAAGGGGGAGGGGGAGGAAGGAGGTAGAAAACCTGGGTTTTCTTGAAGGCTTTGCCAGCGGAGGACAAGCAGTTCCTACTAAGTCAAGTGAACACGGAGCAGGAAGAGCCCTCGTTCTGTAATCAGAGAACCTGGGTTCAAAACCTGCGTCAGGCCTAGGGCCAAACTCACCTCGAGCCTCACTTTCCTCATATGCAAAATCCAACAAGATGTGTCAAGGGCTTAGTATCTGCCAGGCACTGTGCTGAGCACTGGGGACACAAAGGGAGGGGGGGAAGGGCTCTGTCCTCAAGGAGTCCACACTGTAATAGGGGACACAACTAGGAAGGAAGGAGAGGAGGGAGGGAGGGAGGGAGGAAAGAAGGGAGGGAGGAAGGCAGGAAGGAAGGGAGGGAAGGGAGGGAGGGAGGAAGGAAGGGAGGGAAGGAGGGAGGGAGGGAGAAGGAAGGAAGGAAGGAAGGAAGGAAGGAAGGAAGGAAGGAAGGAAGGAAGGAAGGAAGGAAGAAGGAAGGGGGGAGGGAGGGAGGAAGGGAGGAGGGAGGGAGGGAGGAGGGAGGGAGGGAGGGAGGAAGGGAGGAAGGAAGGAGGGAGGAGGGAGGGAGGAAAGAAGGGAGGAAGAGAGGGAAGAAGAGAGGAAGGAAAGCAGAAAGGAAGGCAGGAAGACAAAGGAGGGAAAGAAGGAAGGAAGGAAAGAAGGAAAGAAGGAGGGAGGGAAGGAGGGAAGGAAGGAACTACTGTGTGCCAGGCACTGTGCTCAGGACCCTGGGAGGTAGGTACTATTATTCCCCTCTCCAGGCCTCTGTTTCCTCATCTTGAAAGCCATCCAGTGGGAGAGAAATTATTCACACATACACACACACACATTGGCTACCACCATGTCCGTGGAAAGAACAGTTAAATGAAAGAACATTGTGTTGTCATCATGGCAAAGCTAGTCCCTGAGGCCCCACGGGAGAAAACTGACTGCTCCCCCCTTCCCTACAGAGCTGGTGCTCTGAGTGGGAAATACTGCACAGGGTGGGCATGGGTCACAACTGATTGGCTCTGCTGGTTCTGTCTTTTCTCTCTTTCTATGATAGGAGGCCCTCTGAGTAGGGGAGAAGGGACCATATATTCAGAAATGAAGTTGATGTAAAAACAAAAGATTTAAAGATTTTTTAATAGTGAGGAGGGGATTAAGCCAAATGATGTTCACCACCTAGGTGACTTTGGGCAAGTCATTTCTCTTCCCTGGGACTCATATGTAAAATGAAGGAGGTTTGGACTGAGCCTCTGAGTTCCCTTCTACCTCTAGCTAGATCCGCTTGTCCAGCCTCAGGCCTTCTGCTAACATCCAGTCTCTAAATGCCTATCAGACATCTTGATGGATGACCAGTTGGCATCGAACATCTCCAAAACAGAACTCACTCTCTTTCTCCCTAAACGTACCCCACCCCCTACCTTCCCTGTTCCTGGAGAGGGCAGCACCAATCTCCCCATTGCTCCAGCTTGCAACCTAGGAGTCTATCTGGATTCTTCAGTCTCCCATCTCCACTCACCGTATCCCTATATCCATTGCCAAGGCCTTCAGACCATGTCCGGCATACACCACACCCCCTTCTCTCCTCTGACACTGCTCTCTCTCTAGGGCAGACGCTGCTGAGGGTCTGCCTGTCTCAAGTCCCTCCCAACTGCAGTCCACCCTCCACTCAGCTCGCAAAGCGATTTTACCAAAGCAGAGTCCAGTCATGTCACCCACCCCCTACTCAGTAAACTCCCGGGGCTCCCTATCGCCTCCAGGATCGAATACAACAAGCTGTTTGGCCTTCAGAGCCCTTCACGATCTGGCCGCCTCCTCCCTTTCCAGTCTTCTCACTCCTCACTCCCCAGCAGACCCTCTTCGATCTGGTGATACTGAGCTCCTGGCTGGTTCATCTTCTCACTCTCAGCCTTTGCTCTGGCTGTGTCCCCCAGTCCTAGAACCCTCTCCCTCTTCATCGCTGCCTTTCATCTTCCTTTGAGGCCCAATTAAAACCCTGCTTTCTATAGGAAGCCTTCCCCAATCTCTCAATTCTATTGGTCACCCCTAACTGGTTACGTATGTGTAATTGTTTGTATAGGTGTCTCCTTGTGTGTACACCGTTGTTTGCTTGTCTCCTCCATTAGACTGTGAACTCTATGAGTGAAGAATTGTCTGCCTTTCTTGTGTATCCCCAGTGCTTAGCAATGACTGGCACACAGTAGGTGCTTAATGAATGCTTGTTGACTGACTGGCTGGCTTTAGGAGCTTATGAGATGCTGTCTTAAAGATTCCAGACAGGTTTTTAAGGGTTTGATGGTGGAATTGTCTGCAGCAGGCAAGGCTGGGGAGAAGACACTGAGAGATTTCCCTGTTCTGCTCTGAGCCTATTGTGACCCCTCCCCACCAGCCTTCCCAGGCCCCGCCCCTGCCTCCACAGCCTATTATGACAGGCTATCAACTGTGGCCTGGGCAGCCACAGTTAGGCCTGAACTGCATTGTCTATATGGAAGAGGAGGACTGAGGTCAGACATCAAGGTCAAGACGGGAAAGGGAGTGAGGAGAACCCTTGACACTCTAGAAATGGGGAGACTAAAGCTGAAAAGTAGGGAAACTGAGCTCTCCCCAGGCTGGAAGCCCTCTGCTCCCCCTGTCCTGCCCAGGCCCCCATTCCCCTTTCCTAAACAGCAGCTCACATCTGTCTCTCTCCTAGAAGGATACATGATGGACAATGATGCCTGGATTAACCCAAATAGGGATTTGTAAGTAACCTAAGTCACTAGCTCCATCCCCCTAGACCTGGGCAGGGGGGGAGCAGGTGCTCAGATGGGCCTGGAACCCAGACCATGGGGCAGAATGAATGGGTAGGAGGGGAGGGAGACCCTCAGCTCACTCATCCTGTAAGATCAGGAAGGTATAGGATTTGAGGCTAAGAGTGACCAGCTTGTGCCCAATCCCCTCAGCTCTAGTTTAGCCAGATGAGATTTAGGAAGAACCAGATTTGGAGTCAGTAAGGCCTGAGTTCAAATTTACTTCTTTCATTTGCTAGCTCTGTAATCTTAAACTAATTTCCTCATCCACAGGGCATTAGACTAGATATGGTCTTTAAGGTGACCTCAGTTTCCCATCCTTGGAAAACAGAAGCAGGTGTTGGGCTATATAATCTCTACGGACCATTCCAACTCAGATGTTCTGTTTACAAAGAACTCTGGCTATCTGTTCAAAGACTTCTACCTTTCCTTGTCTCAGGAGCATTAGGGGAAGAGGTTGGGGCTGGTTTCAGCCATAAAAACTGTGGGGATCTGGGCAGAAACCCAGAGTCCAGACAGAGGCCTTGAGGACAAGGCAGACAGAAACCAACATCTCTGTCCAAAGTCTGTGGAGAGGGGCAGGAGGAAGTGTTTAAAAAAAAAAAACTACTGCCACTGTGAGTCTAGCTACTGAGACAGAAAGGGAGAGATAACACATAGAAATGCAGAGACAGAGACAAAAGACAAGACAAAGAGAAAGGGAGGGAGAGAATAATAGATTTGAGAGACACAGAGAACAGACAGAGACTGAGACAAAAACAGAGATGAGAGCAAAACAGAGACAGACAGAGAAGGAGGGAGAAGTAGCCCAGAGACAGAGACAAAAACAGGCAGAGATAAGAGAAGAAAGAGAATTGGAGACAGAGGTGAGAGGTAGAAAGGGAAGGAGAGAGAGAGAGAACAGATGTGAGAGATAAAAACAGAGGCACCAGGGAGAGACACAGGAAAAGACAATGAGAAAAGGAGAGACAGGACAGGCAGAGGAAGAAGATGGGGGAAACTGAGGGAAGGGGACTGGTTCTGGTTAGTGAAGAAGGAGGCAGACCCCAGATCTTCTATGGGGGCTAAGTTCATGGGAATTCCAATCCTGGATCTTTCTCAGCCTATAGAGAGGGGTGTCTCTCCCCAGAAGAGCCTATCTCAGGCTTCCCCCCAGCCTGCTCACTGCCCTCTGCCCTCTGCCCTGCTCACTGGCCCAGGGATATCAGAGGTCAGTTCTCTGAGCACTCCAGTCTGGAACACTCAGCCTTGCTCCTAGGGATAGATGTGAGGGGGCTGCCTTTAAGGAAATCAAAAGCAAAGCCCTTCTCCCAAATTACCTATGCGCATGTGTATAGCAGGTTTGAAGACCTCACATACCTCCTGCCCTCCCTTCTACTCTCCAGCAGTTCTCAGCCCCACTATATGCCATTCCTGAGCTCCACACCTTGCCAAGTACCTAACCTCACACTGTGTCCCTGAGTCCGCACTGTATCTCTTTAGCAGGCACACACACACACACACACACACACACACACACACACACACACACACACACAAGCACACACATGCACACACATGCGCACACACATGCATATATACACACACACACACACACACACACACACACACACACACACACACACACACACACACACACACACACCATGTCCTTGGGCCTCCACGGTGTCTCTCCTCTCCCCTCCCCTCCACACCTTACCCCTTCTGCATGTCTCTTCTTCATAGCATGGCCCCAGACCAATGTCAGGTCCTGGGCACTCACTAGCCTGTGTCTTTGTCTTCCTCCAACAGCAGACAGAGATTACACGGGTATCCACCGCCTCCACCCCCACCCCCACGACCTACACAGCCGCATACGGTCTCGGGCCAACCCCGGCTTCTTCAATGCTCAGTGGTAAACCTGAACCCCTTTGAGGAGAGGAACACCATCTTGGAGTTAGAGCAGGCCAACCAAAAACTGGTAGGGGCCCCCTGATCCCAAAGCACCCCTAAACCGTCCCTGTGCTAAACAGCACTGGGTAATGGATAGAGAATACAGGAAGAACTCAGTTAAACTTCCCCAGGGCAAGTCCCCTAACTTCTCTCTGCCTCAGTTTCCCCATATGACAAATGAGAGGATTGGGCTTAAGGTTCCTTACATCTCTAAAGCTATTCATTTAAGATCCTATCAGGACCCTGGAATGTGAGAAAAGGAAAATACAAAAATACTCTGGCCTGGAAGATGAAAGTATACCAATCAATCTACAAGCATTTATTAAGCACTTACTGTGTGGTAGGCCTTATGCTAAGGGATGAAGATACAAAGTCGAAAGTGAAACAGTTCTTGTCCTCAAGAGCTTTTTTTACAGCAGGGGAGGCAACATGTGGATAGGTACCAAGTATAGTGTATGTACAAGGTACCCTGGGGTGAGGGCGGGGCACTAGCTGCCTTGGGATAAAGGAAGGACGGCTTCATGTAGGAGGTGGTACTTTGGTGGAGTCTTGAAGGAAAACAAAGACTTTCCAGAAGGGAAGGTGAGGAGAAGGGAGGGCATTCCAGGTATGGGAGATGCCCTTGGGCAAAGGCATGGAGATGGGAAAATGAATATCTGGTATGACGAACACCAAGAAGACCAGTTTGGCTAGACTTCAGAGCACCTAGGGGGAAGTGATATAGGATAAGGTTGGGAACACAGGCTGAGGCCAGGTGGTGAAGACCTTTACATTCTAAACAGAGGAGTTTATTATATTCAGTCCTCAAGGTAATAAGAAACCACTGGCATTTATTGAGTAAGGGGGTGAGGCGATCAGTTCTTCACTTTAGGAAAATAATTTGGCAGCTGGAGAGAGGAAGGGTAATAAGAGGCTGGGAGCTGAGTCCATTGGAGAAAGGATGAGGGTCTCAAGCAGGCAGCCACGGGGTCAGTGGGGGAGACAAAGGGGTAAACACAATCTGTGTTATGGAGCTAGAAACAGCAAGATGTGGCTGGCATGAGAAAGCATGAGCCTGACACGGAGGCTGCCAACCGGCATTATCGGTGGGATGGTGGCGTCACCATCATCATCACACTTCTCCAGCGTTTTCCAGTTTTTGTGTTATCCTACTTGATCCTTACAATAACCCTGTGAAGTAGGCGCTATTATGATTTTCCCTGTTTCACAGGTAAGGAAAACTGAGGCTAAGAGGTTCCATAAATAGGGGAAAGCACATGGATCTGGGAGTCATCTGCTCAGAGATGCCTATTAAACCTTTGGGGACAGCTGATATCACCAAATGGAACAGTGCCGAGAAGGAGAAGAGGACCCAGAAAAAAGCCTTGGGCAATATAGGAAATGTTAGGAAATGTGGCCTTGGAGCATGATAGCAAAGTACACTGAGAGGCAGGGAAGACGGGGGCCAAGGGAGGCCAAGAAAGGTGAGAGGATCCCCGAGAAGAGGGTGGCCAACCATGGCAATGGCTGCCAAGAGCCCAAGAAAGATGAGGATTTTTAAAAGGCAGTTAGATACGGCCATTAAGAGATCTTTGGTAACTCTGGAGAGACTGCTAAGTGGTGAAGTGGAGAGAGACCTGAATCTGGAGTCAGGATGAGCCTGAGTTCAAATCCAGCTGCAGACACTCGATAGCTGTGTGTGTGGCCCTAGGCAAGGCAGCCTTTTTTCAAGGCATTTGACTAAGAAAGGACGGAGACATATGGGATGATAACTAGCAGGCATGGTAGAGTCTAGTAATTTTTTTTAAGGATAAGGAAAATGTGGGTGGATTTGTAGGCAGCAGGGAAGGAGTCAATAGAGAGGGAGATAGTAGTAGAGAGGGGTTGGACTAAAGATATCAGAGGCCCCTCCCAGCTCTGACATTCCCTCTTCTGAGGGCCCTCCTGGCTCTGATTCTTTATTCTAAGTGTCCTCTCAGCTCTAAATTTTGTATTCATAATGTTGGCAAGTGAAGAAGGGTGGATTGGGGGAGCTCTGTCCTTTGAATCTTGATCCCTTCCAGTTTTCCCAGGCCTGGGCATTCTTGGGACTTACTCAGTCACAGATAGCCCACTTCAGATGCACGATGGCCCCCGCCTCCTTTCTCTCTTTGCTTGCTGCCCTCTCCCCTCCCCTTAACAACAGCTCCGGAGAGTCCCTCCTCTGATGTACAGGAGGGCTGCTGGTAAGGGGACAAGGGAGGGACAAGGCTGCTGCGGGGACCTGAGCTCAGAGCCCGGAGCCAGACTGTGGGTAGATCTTAGCGGTGGGTCTTCTGCTTCTGTCCTGACCATGGCCACACAGAGAAATGCAAGAAGAAGAAAGGATAGAAACAGCTCCTCAGATCTGACTCGTGGCAGGGCCGAGGCTCAGTGTTCCCGTCAGAAAAATGGGCCCACTGGGCTTCTTCCAATTTCATGGGCTTTAGAGATGAAGGGGGCCCGGGGTCATCTAATCCAACGCATTCATTTTGCCGCTGAGGCCCAGACACCTCCAGGATTTGCTTCTAAGATCTCATGGATAGTGAGGAGTAGAACTAGGACAGTGACCTGGGTCCTCTGACTCTACCTGGCATCTTCCCAACCTCTCATTATAGAAGGATATGAACCAGGAGCTGAGGGAGCAGCTCGAAGACATCATGGAGCCAAGGGAGATGAGGCATGACTTTATGTGCCCCAACCATCAGCAGCAATTACAGATCCTGTCTTGGGTGAGGGCCTGGGGTGCCAGCAGCTGTGGAGGGGATGGGAGAGGGAGGCCAGGACTCTTCAGCTGGAGGGGGATCTGGGGTGGTGGGAAGAAACTGGGGGAGGGGTAGAGGTTGGGGGAGGAGATACAGTCAGAATGGAAGGACACCCCACCCCCCCCAGCCCAGCTATGGTAGATAAACTTTGTTGGGGGCTCCCTGGGATGTCCCAGGAGAAGGACTGTCCCCAGATGATGGATGATTCAAGGTTAGTACAGATGCTAAAACAAAAAATCTGCCCTCATGAGGACCCCTTCATGGAAAAGTCCCAGGTAAGACAAAGGAAGCCCAGAATCTGCAGGGGCCGTTTGGCCCAGCCAAGGCTGGCGTGTGCTGCTGGTCCCCATTGGCCTCCAATCCCAGAGGAGGCTCTGACAGTAATGGCAGCCAGGGCCCTGGGGCTTCAGTTCTAGGACCTCCGGGTATAAGTCACAGCTCTGATGATACCAGGGTGATGTTGGACAAGGATCTGAGCCTCAGTTTCTTCAGAGTTGGACCACAGAAGCTGGAGGGTCTCCCCCAACTCACAGTCCTACATTCCTAAGGGTCCCTCCACAGAGATGCCTCGGGGAAGTAGTACCAGGGCTGGGAACTCTGGGTGCTGGGATCCTCTGGGGAAAGGGGGAGAAGAGGTTCTTATAGGCTCTCTGTGCCCCATGCCAGGCAGGAAGGACCCATTCACCTGCAAGCACTGTCTACTGCCAGCTGTTTGTCTGCTCCTCCTGATTCTCCTCTATTCCCCCCCACCTCACCCACATCTGCCTGTAAGGAAGGGCATAGAGCTTAGGATGGGGTTGGCACAGGGCAAGGGATAATGAAGATGAGGCCAGGTTTAAGCCCAGTGATATAAGGTATGGCTTCCCCTCCTTGAAATTCCTGTTCCCCCCTGCCCCGTATGGCACTCTCTTCCTTGGCCCCCACCTAAGGGCAGTCCATAGCTCAGGTCACTGAGCTGCCCTCCTAAGGCTCCCCCTCCCCGGCCCCCAGAAAGAGCTGCAGCAGATGAGGCTGTCCTTTGAGAGAAAGAAGACATCTATTACAGAGGTAATATACCAATCTTGTCAGGTGGGCGGGATCTCTAAGGGTCACCCAGTCCCTTCCCCAGCCTTCCCACCAAACTGATGCCAGCTGAGCCCCAGCTCCACCCCCCAAGCCTTTGACCTAGTCCACATGTTCCCAGTGTGGCTCTCTGGAAGGAAAGCAGCAGCTAGACTTGGGCCAGGGGGCAACTGGAGCTGGAATCCTTACTGTTCCTGGGAACTCCCCTGCCCCTGAGTTCCTCTGAAATACTAGAAATAATAATAGCCACAACAGTGACAGCTGTTGCTCCCATTTTAAAGTGCTTTCAAGGTTTGCCAAGCCTCTGTGACTGAAAAGCGCTCAAGGCAGTAGAGGGTACTAAGCCTCACACAGTCTGGGGTCAGGAGATCTGAGGTTGAATCCTGCATATGAGCCATGGAACAGAGCTGTGTGCATCTGCACAAGCCCCTCCCTTTCTCAGGCCTCAGCTTCCCCATCTATAAAAGTGAAGGAGGTTGACATCTCTTGATAAGGTTTCTTCTAAACCCATGATCCAGTGAAGACACCTATATCGTTATTCCCATTTTACAGATTTTACAGACTCTGAGAACTGGGGCTCAGAGTCTTCTGTGATTTGCCCATAGGAATATCTAGCAACATCAAGTCTTCTAAGTCCATTTAAGATTCAGTTTCTAAAGCCTAAAATGTTCTCCTAAATTCTGCTCCTCTGTCTGGAAGGGTTTCAGTCTTAAGCCTAAGGATCTGACACTATGTTTCTAAAGAGTAAAACCTTTGGAAAAGTCTGATACTATTTCTACAATACTTAGTCTCTAAAAGCCTAGGATAGTATGTCTCTAAAATTCGGATACCTTTTTCTTAGAATTTATAATATTTTGTTTCTAAAATTCTAAGAAACATTGTTCTATAAGATTAGAATGTTAAGGTCACTCAAGAACTCAGTGCATTAGAATGCTTATAGTAAGCTACTTTGTTACAAAAAGTCTAAGATTTAATTTCTAGGATTATTAGACTTTGTTGCCAGGTTCTAAGATACTTTGTTTCTAGGGATATAGGATATTTTGTCTCTAATTTGTAAGCTTAATCACAAGATTCTAACACTCTGATAGTACTTTTCTAAGGATTGCAAACACTGTTTTTATCATCTAAAACCCTCTAAAAAATATTTGTCTTTCGGCTTCTAAGATACTTTGTTTATAAAATTCTAAGATACCTTAAAGCAATTCAATGTGATGCAGTGAGGAAGCAGGGTGGTCGGGGATGAACCACCATCTGGGGCTGGGCCTGAAATCAAGAAGACCTGGGTTTAAATCCTGCCTCAGACACTTTCTGGCTGTGACTCTGAGACAGTCTCTTAACCTCTGTTTGCATCAGTTTCTTCATCTGTAGAATGGGAAGAATGATCTTTGCATTACTTCTCGTGGAGGAAGTATTTTATCAGAGGGGCAGCTAGGTGGTGCAATGGATAGACCACCACATCTGAAGTCGGGAAGACCTGAGTTCAAATTCAGCCTCAGACACTTACCAGCTGGGTGACCCTGGGCAAGTCACTTAACCTCAGTTTCCTCATTTGTAAAAAGGGGATGATAATAGCGCTTGTCCCCCAGGGCTTTTATGAGGATCAAGCGAGATAATCATTGTAAAGACTTAGGACAGTGTCTGGCACTTGGCAAGCGCTATACAAATGTTGGCTATTATTTATTATTATTGTTATTGTTCTAGAAAAGGGAGCAGTTGTTGGTATCAGTCGGCCCCTTAAGGCATGGCCAAGTGTGGAGTTACTGCGCCCCCTGGTGGCCATGCTGGGAACTGCCCCTTCCCCAGCTTCTTGGTGCCATCCCAGTCTCCAGCAGAGATTCACTTTTCCTCTCGCCTCGAAGGAACCAAAGGATACCAAAGGCTGGAAAGAGCCTTAGGGATCACCTAGTCCTCCTTTCACATATGAGGAAAAGGAGGTTGATGAGGGTCACATAGCTCATGAATTGCCAAGGCAGGATTTGAACCAAGTTTCCCCATTCTGAGGCTGCTAGGCGGTGCCATAGTGCACCAAGCACTGGGACTGGAGTCAGGAAGACTCATTTCCCTGAGTTCAAATCCGGCCTCAGACACTAGCTGTGTGACCCTGGGCAAGTCACTTTACCCTGTTTGCCTCCATCTCCTCATCTGCAAAATGAACTGGAGAAGGAAATGGCAAACCACTCCAGGATCCCTGCCAAGAAAACCCCAAACAGGGTCCCGAAGAGTTGGACACCACTGAAAAATGACTGAACTCTACAATTCCTCATTCTAAGTTAAGAAAGAGCCCTGTTGTCATTCTACCAGAATGAGGGGATAGGAAGGATGGTGTTAGTGACAGAAAAGATAACTGTCAATTCTAGAGCAGTTCGAGGTTGATAAGGTACTTTCCTCAATAGCTCTGGGAAGTAGGCAGTTATCCCCATTTTACAGATGAGGAAACTGAGGCTTACAGATATCGGGTTTTACCGAAGGTCCCACAGCTGTCAGAGCCAAGTATCATCCCTAACCCTTCTGACTGGTAGAACAGTGTCCTTGGGCATGCTGTCTTCAGGCTTCCTGTGAACAAATGATTACTCAGTGCAGAGCCTACCATGATGGGGGGGGCAGGTGTGGAAGAGGGGTGAAGAGCTGGGTCAGCTCCATGAGGTGGTCAGATCTGCTGTTCCTCCTTGCTCAGGTGTGGGATGGCATGAGTGAAGTTCACATGTCCTTGACTGACCAGACTGAAGGACTTCTGGTAGGCTGACTTGTCTCCTGGGTGGCAACCAGGTGGGGGGAGCTCTATTGGCCACAGCCAGGCCTCTGGGGAGCCCCCTAGCCAGGGTAGGGCAGGAGTAGAGGCAGAGAGGGCTACACAGGACCCAAGCTTGGGGCCTGCTCAGATCCAGGAATCAGGAGAACTATTTCCTCCTCCATAAAAGCCAGGACATTCCAAGCTCATTTCCTCAGAGACTGAGCAGCTCAGAAAAGCATCACCCACACACATCCTCAAAGCATTTAGGGCAGAGGGATGTGCTGATGGACCAGATGACAATGGCCTGAGGGAATGAAAGAGGAAGTTGAGTTGGAGGGATGGAGAGACAGCAGAAGGATGGGGTCAGACAGCCAGCAGAGGGCAGTAGAATGGAGAAAGAGACAAAGTGGGGGCTGGGGGTAGGAGAAGTGGGATAGGTACAAACAGATTGGGGGAAGCTGAGGGTCAGTGTCCAGCTGCAGTGGGGAGTGGGACAAGCAAGGACTGAGAAAATAGAGATGCTCTTTCCTCTGTTCTGGGTTTCAGAATCTCAAAAAAGATATTGGAGATGTGTTAAAGGAGGTGGAAGACATACGAATGGAAATTCTTCGGTGAATGAGAGGCAAACAGCACCCCTGCTGAGTGTAGTAATAAGCCTACCAGAACTTCACCCCTTCCCTCCTGCTTCCCCCCTCCCCACCCCAGAACTGGAGAGCAGGAGCTGCTCTGCCTTATTAGCTACCCCACCCACCCCAATCAGATTCAGAGAGTGAAGGAAATGGGGAAGGGGGTGCAGCATGAAAGATATCATTGCCACCTTCATCCCAACCCCCCTCCCCCATCCAGGGAGAGCAGAACTGTGCCCATGGAACACTAGATTTCCCAGGGTTTCTGGAACAATCTCTGCTATCTTGGATTTTCACAGGGACAAGGCCCGGTACCACACTCTGACCAGGAAAGGCTTGCTTATGCAGAAGAAGAAGGTGAGCATACTTTCCATCCCTCCCTGCCCCCAACATTTTATTCGGTGGAAGCCAAATATTTTTAAGTGAGGCAGGTGGGCTCAGGGAAAAGAGCAGATCAGGCCTGCGCCATCACTAATTCACTGCGTGATCTTGGGTAACTCCGCCTTGCTGGACCTGTTTTCCCCATCAGTAAAATTCTGGGCAGCCAGGTGGCACTGTAGTAGATAGAGCAATGGGTCTGGAGTCAGGAAAACCCAAGTTCAAATCCAGCCTCAGACACTTACTGGCTATGTGACCTTGAGCAAATCATTTAACCATGTTTGCCTCAGTTTCCTCATCTGTAAAATGAACTGGAGAAGGCAATGGCAAACCACTTCCAGCATCTTTGCCAAGAAAACCTCAAATGGGGTCACAAAAAGTTGAATATGAATGAAACAACTGAACAAAAAAAAAAAGAGTTCTGGAAGTCGGGAAAGTTCGGGTATTATTTCCCAACCTTTTCAAGTATGAAGCCCTGGAGATCCACCTTTTAATGTCAGAAAGCTTCATGAACCACACTCACACACACAGAGCTGAAGTCACAGCACACGTTTTTATTGGTTCTGGGTAAAATTCAAATGATAAAGCTTGGGTCCCATACGGCTTCTCAGACCCCTAGCACTAGCTCTCTGAACCTTCACACACACACACACACACACACATATATATATATATGGGTTTATATTCCACAGATTGAGAATCACTAAGTTCAGTGATCTCTAAGCCCCTTCTCAGCTCTGATCTCTGTTCTATGGTCTGAGATTCCTGAGTACCCAGACTGATCAAGTGACTTGCCAAACATCACGTAATCCCTTAAACTCTTGCGTGCCCAAGACTGTTGTAGTCAATTGCAAAGTTAGGAAGTGAAACTGACTTTAAGACCAATGTCCCTTTCACAGATGCCCAGTTTTTAACCTTGGCTTTTAGTGAGAAATACCCTTTTTCTACTTGGATGGTGTCCCCGTAGAGGGCTGGTTTTGATGAATTAGTAAGTGTGATTTATAATGAGCACATCAGCTATCTGTTTGTAAAGGGGAATTTGACATGCACTTGGACATTCAGAGTAATGGCCAACTGGGAAGTCAAGCTTCAAGTCAAAGGGCCATCATCTCTCTGAGCCCAAGTTTCTGGTAAAATCAAGTTGACCTAAATGATCTCTAAACTCCTTTCCACTCTAACCCCTTAATCCTGGGATCCTCAAACACCTGATGTCTGCAGGCCTCAGACAAAATGTAGGAGGATGAATTGGATTCCCCCACTAAGCTCCCCCCCCTCTCCTTCTGCCTTAGCCGTCTCAGCCGCCCCCCCAGATGTCCAGATGACCAGATGTCCAGGTAGGTGGAACTGGTCTTCCTGGAACACACAAGTTCTACATTCCATGGGAAACTCATCCCCAAGAGCAATGACACTCAAGGGTGGTGGGGTCAGCATCACAGCAGTGCAACTTCCAGTCACTGGAGCCATTCAACAGACCTTGACACCCATGGGTGATAGTGGTGCTAAATAAAACTCACAAATATCAGTGCAAGGGTCTGGGGAGGGTATGTCTCCAGTGGAATGCCCCAGGAATCTACTCTTGGCCCTTCACATTCTTATGGGTGACATGGGTAAAACCATAGATGATATTTGCTGAGGACAGAATACTAGAGGGATGGTTAATGCACTGAATTACTGAATGAGGATCCAAATAAAGACTCTGGCAGGCTAGAATATGGAGTTAAATCTAACAAAAGGACATTTAATAGGGACAAAATGCAATCATACACTTGAGGGTTTGGGAGTTTGTTTGTTTTTTAAATCAGCTTCACAAGCTGAACATGGGGAGACAGCAGTTTGCCTCAAAAAGATCTCAGGGTCTCAGTGGACTGCAAGGTTCATATGAGTCAGCAGTATTGGGTGGCAACCAAGACAGTTAATTGAATCTTAGGTTGCATTGAGAGGCAGAGTGTCCAGGAATAAAGAGGTAATAGCCCTATTGTCCTCTGCCCTCCTCAGGTCACCTCTGGAGTTCTGGGCCCCACATTTTAGGGGGGATATTGATAAACAGCAAAGTGTCCAGAAAGGGCATGCAGGCTAAGTGAAGGGCCTTGAGACCATCTTATAGAAGGATCAACTTAAGGAATTGGGCACATTTACCCCTAGACTTTTAGTACAAGGAGAGGTCCTGGTAGCTGGCTTCCTGTAGTATTTAAAATACTATTAAGTGGAAGAAGGATGTGCCTTTTTCTGCTGGGCCCCACAGGACAGAAAGAAGTATCAAATGAAAGTTAAAAGGTGGGAGACCTAATTAAAAGGAAAAAGAGCCTTCTGATGATTAGAGCTCTCCAGTAAGGAAATAGCCTACCTCTAGAAGTAGTGAGCTGCTTGTCACTGGAGTGATTCCATTTAGAGGCTTGATACCCTCTGTGGAATGAAGGTTTCAGAGAGGATTACTTCATTGATTGGAGGGTTGGGCCAGATGCTCTCTGAAATGCTAAAGCTGTAATGTTCAGTGGTGGAAGCATTCTAAGCAGTTGGTGGTGGCTGCTGAGAACGTAGCCCATGGGCCAATTCTTCACCTCTTTAGGACCAAAACTCCTAGCCCAATCTCTAGTGTACCTAGGAAGTATTGGGGGCAGGGGTCTGCAAGTCTCTTCTTTGACAATTCAATTAGTTTTCCCCAAACCCCACAAAGTTAAGGGATCATAAAATGTCAGTGGTGGGAGGAGCCTTGGAACACAGATGCGTTAGAAGAAACCTCAGAACAAAAAAATATCTGGGCTGGAGGAGCTCCTAGAACCTGGAATGTAAGGACTAGTACATAGAACATAGAATGTCAGAGCTGGGAGGAACCTTAGATATCATCTACTCAAAGTCTCTTACTTTATGTAAAAGAAAGGCTTAGCATCTTGCCCAAGGTCACAAAGGGAATTAATGCCAGAGCTGGGATTCTTATCCAAATCCTGTGCTTTTTACACCATGCTAGTGTGCCCTCCCTGGACAGCAGTGTCCAGGAGGGACTTCTTCCCTACCTCCTCTCTTCTACTCTTCTCTCCTCTCCCCTCAGGAAATCCTGGACAATCTTGAGCAAGGCGGGTTTGTGCCTGCTTGTCTGCAGCATTCTGTTTTACCTCTGTGTAGTGAACTCCAATCCCTATGAGAGTCTTCTTCCCTTGATCATTAGCCAGAAAACAGTCTGGAGCATCCGAACCTGGTGCAACCCCTTCCTCAGGGTGGAAGTGGATGACTTCCTGCCATTTTAGGCCCAGAGCTTCATGCCACTGAGAGGTGAGTTATGTCCCCAAACATGATGCTGGTTCGTCCTCATGAGCATGCAACACCTGACTGCCTTTGCCAGAGAAGTCACAGCAGGAATAGGCTTTACCCCCATCCCCTTTCCTTATGAGGGCAAAAGCTGGAGCCCACACAGCACAGCCTGTTAATAGCAGGAGCAGGATTCTAACTAGGAGATCAGTATCTTAAAGTCATGTGGGACATAAGAGGCCTCTTATCCAAGCCGCTCACTTTATAGATGAATAAACTGAGACACAGAGAGTAAACTTGCCACGGTCATGTGGGCATTAAGTGTCAGAACCTGGATTCAAATCCAGTTCATTGAACTCTAAATTGAGCTTTCTATAACAAACTTTGTCTGGAAGATCCTCCTGCCCCTCCAAGTCCCAGAGCCTTGAGTTTCCTAGGGACACCATTTCTAATACACCCTTCCACCTTCTGCAGTGACATGTGATCCTGCCATGGCCCTGTGAATGAGGCAAAGCAGTGATCATTACTCTCCTATAAAATAATGGAAAAACTGAGGCCCAGATGGGCAAATGGCTTGCCCACCTCCCCAACCAGCAAGTAAGGGGCAGCAGGTAGCCTGAACACTGAGTCTTTTGATACTCAGGCTAGTAGTCTTGCTAGAAGAGATTTTTACAACCAAGCCTGCCTTTGGGGGAGAGAGGGGCCTGTCCCTACCAGGGAGGCACAAGTACTGGGCCTGATGCCCAATTGAACAGAGGGAGGGAGTTGTATGGAAGGGTCTTCATGAAGGTGAGGAGGATTAAAGGAAAAGATCTAGGTTTGGAATCAAGAGACTTTGAGACAGCTTTCACACTAATTAGCTTTGTGACTCTGGAAAAGCCATTCTCTCTCTCTCTCTATCTCTCTCTCTCTCTCACTCTCTCTCTCTCTCTCTCTCTCTCTCTCTCTCTCTCTCTCTCTCTCTCTCTCTCTCTCTCTCTCTCCCTCCCTCCCTCCCTCCCTTTCTCTCTCTGTCTCTCTCTCTCTGTCTTCTCTCCTCTCTCTCCCTGTCTCTTTCTGTCTCTCACTCTGTCTCTTGTCTTCTCTCCTCTCCTCTCTCTCTCTCTGTCTCTCTGTCTCTCTTTTTCTCTCCCTCTTTCTCTCCCCCCTGCCTCAGTTTCCTCCTCTGCAAAATAGGGGTAATGCTCCTTAACCCACGTGCCTCATAGGGGAATTCTGAGGCAAACACTTTGCAATTGGAAGAAGAGGATGTAATTTTGTACAAAATATACAAAATGGAACTATTGCTGGCAGAAAGAAAAATGACGCTGTTGGCTGAGGTACCTCTAAGGTCACCCAGCCACCTTTCTCTGAGTCTCAGTCTCCTCTATAAAATGAGGGCGTTGGATGAGATGGGTCTCTAAGGGGCTGGCTGGATTTCAGCCTCTGGCCGGGCCCCAGGAGGGGCTGGCGGCACCAGAGTGGGCAGGGGTGAGCAGCAAAATGACCCTGGGGTCAGAGAGGAGGCAAAATTGACTCACTTTTCCAGGGAAGAAGAGGACATGGCCCCTCTCTCCAGGCTGCCTGCCTTTTCTCTGCAGTTGATGGGAACCAGCTGTGGACACCCTGCCCTGTCAATCCTGTTCTGTTGGAGGGCTGGGCCCTGGAAAGCATCACATAGAGATTTCTGATACTTGAGATGATGTATGTTTGTGTTTCTCCTTGGAAACAGCCACCAGGTCCCTGCTCCTCCCCTTCTCCTCGAGCTCCCAGCCTCCGCATTCCTGACCAGGTTCTCTCGATTCCTCCTCTCCCCGATCTCCACAGGGCATAGGTGCCCCAGAGAATAGGCTAGTGAGGTGAAAGGCCAAGGTGGAGAGGTGGAAGGGGAAGAGATGGCGGCAACATCAAAAGGTCTTAGGAGTTACAAAACCTGGCTTCCACTTTGCTGGGTGAGCCCAGGAAAGTCCCTTCTCCTCTCTAGGCCTTTGCTTCCCATTTCTCAAAAGTGCTAAGCCTTGCTCAGTCTCCTTGCTTTTCCTGAGATTGAAACTGAGGCCCAGAATGCAGGAATGCTGGGGGTCACAGAGTGGATTAGGGTCGGGGGGGCAGTGGGAGGGAAGCCTGGCTCCCAAGCCTGGGTTCTTTACATATATCCCTTATGGAAAGAAGAGAGAGGGAACAAGACGGCTTTGGGGCTGAAGAGTTGGTAACAGGACATGAGCATCTCTCTCTCTCTCTCTCTCTCTCTCTCTCTCTCTCTCTCTCTGTGTCTCATTTATTCATTCATTATTCATTATTCTCATTCATTTATTCATCTATTTTTCTATTTATTTGTTCATTTATTTATTTATTTATTTGTTGTTTGGCTAGGCAATGGGGATAAGTGACTTGCCCAGGGTCACACAGCTAGTGTTATGTGTCTGAGAACAGATTTGAACTCAGGTCCTCCTGAATCCAGGGCCAGTGCTCTTCCACTGCGCCACCTAGCTGTCCTCCTCTCTCTCTCTCTCTCTCTCTCTCTCTCTCTCTCTCGCTTTCTCTCTCTCTCTGTCTCTCTCTCTCTCTCTCTGTCACTCTCTGTCACTGTCTTTCTGTCTCTCTATCTCTGTCTCTCTGTCATTAGAAGTTGGACACTATTCTTCCTCTGGAGACCTAGGCCTACGGTCTGTAGGGATGCCAGTGCTCAATATCCACCCACTCCATAAATTGAATTCCCTAGCTCAAGGAAAGGGGGTGCTTGGAGCTGTCCTCTGGAATGGGATCTGCCCCATCCCAGCTGTCTGCCCTCCCCTACGAGGGCCATGAAGCACTGACTTTCTCCAGGACCCTGACTCCCAGGCTTCACCATGTTCATCTTCTCCCCATTTCTGACCAGGGCCAGAAAGGACACGATGTGGGAGGGAGCAGATGAGTCCCTCAGACCTCTCTGCCCTCAGAGGGTGAAAGGAAGAGAGCAAACCAGCCTCTTAGCATGCCAAGTTAGCAGCGCTCCCTGGGAGGGAGCTAGCAAATGTTTCATTATACCCATGTGACAGTTGAGGAAACTGAGATGTAGAGGAGGAGAAGGGACTCCCAGAGCCTCAGAGCTGTGATGTTTCCAAGCAAGGACTTAGGATGAGGTTACAGAGTCTGACAAGTGTCACTCTGGGCTTCAGTAAAGTGGAAATCGATTTATTATTCATTCAGCTCATGCAAACCCAAGGTTCCCCCTGCACTGGTGCCCTTGAGAACACACACACACACACACACACACACACTCACACTCACACATGCACACATGAGCGCACACAGTCACACACAAGCATACATGCACACTCACAATGACACATACACATTTACATAATCACACACACATACATAAACTCACAGTCACACACACACACACCATGACTTCAGGGCCTCCAGGATTGTCAAAAGGCACCCAGACATCCCTGAGTTCCCAGTGTGCACCCCACTGCACCCTGACTCCTCCCTCTCTCTGGGAACACCTGGGCTTCACATCCTCTCCCCACCAAGCTTATCCAAGGGGGCCCTGGAGCCAGGCTGCTCAGAGAAAATAGCAGAGTCAAAGGAGCCTGAGATCAGTCTTCCTCCCCGCTGGGCTCCCGCTGCTTGGGGCGGAGCAGATAAATCACTTTATTCCTTTAGGCATCTATAGGGTATTAAACCTTGTACAGTGTTCAAACTGGCGTGAGAAAGGAAGGCAGTTATATTTTTTCCAGTGGGAATAGCAGCCTGGGGAGAGGGGATCTGTCTGAAGGGAAGTGTGAGGGCCCCAAAGCTGCAGAGCCTAGCTCCCAGGAAGCTCCCCCAGCCCTCCCTCATACCCCAGGCTCAGTATGTTCCCTGGGACCCCAGCTGTTGGTTTACAATAGTTAAAAGGCTCCTGGGCTGTACCCGCAGGAGTCAGGAGCCTGGCCAAAAGGAGCTGGGAAAATGATTAAAGGGAGATGCATGGGCCCCTAGAGGATGGGTGGAGAGAGTTGCAGGAGGGAGACAGCAGTACTGCACAAGGGGGGCCTCCTAGATTTTGCCAGCCCTGGCTCAGAGTGAACGAGGGGTCCCTTCCCCCTTCCCCAGCCCACCTTGTAAACTGACACTCTTTTATGTCCAGAGACCCCAAAGCCTGGAGTGGGGGGGAGGGGGATAGGGAAGGCCAGTCTAAAGCACCGGGGTTTGGCAAATGAGCCGAGGAAGGTGGTGGGCACTGTCCTTGCCAGATATACCCAGGATGCAGGAAGGTGGCCCCCATTTGCTGATAAAGCTGATGCCTCTGGCCACCACTGCTGAGGACAAACCTCTGAGAAAGCTCACTTGGAAACCTCAGATCCTGAGGAAAAGCCAGCTGGCCCTGTCTCTTAGCTCCCCCCGCCCCTCCTCAGGGGACAGACTTCTCCCAACTCAGCCCCCAGCTATTTTCGCTCCAGAGGAAGGTCTGGTCTGGGCCACAGCTGCTGGCTTTGAGATGCCATCACTGTCAAAGAGGTGATTCAGAGACCTTTCATCTCCCCCTCCCCCATGCTGGCCTCTGGGCTGGAAAGGGGGGATGCTCATGCTGAGGACCTGGCTGGCCTCCCAGCTCTAGAGACAGAAAATGAGACACAGGTTCTCAGACGTGCGCGAAGTGTGGATTTGCTTTGCTTAACTGTACTAGTTCTAAGACAGAACTTCAGCAGGATGGTGGAGGGGTGAGTTAATGGGTAGTCAGCCAACAAGTATCTACTATGTACCAGGTGCATAGCAATTGGGCCAACTAGGGTGATGCAGTGGACAGAATGCCAGGCCTGGCGCTCAGGAAGACCTGAGTTCAAATCCAGCCTCACATACTGTGTGACCCTGGGCAAGTCACTTAACCCTGTTTGCCTCAGTTTCCTCATCCCTAAAATGAGTTGGAGAAGGAAATGGCAAACCTCTCTAGCATCTTTGACAAAGAAAACCCCAAATGGGGTCATGAAGAGTAGGATATAACTGAACAACAAAAATGTGTCATGGGTTCACTATAGGTCAGGCACTGTGCTAAGTGCCAGGGATAAAAAATGAGGCAAAAGACGGTCCCTGCCCTCAAGGAGCTTCCCATCCAATGAGGGGAGACACTTCAAATGAAGTGTCCTACAGACAAGCTACACGGAGCCCAAAACTTCCCCATCACTAGCAATGACACTACCATCCTTCAGCTCCCGGCTTGGAGCTGTCTTGTCACTGCCCATATCCAATCTGTTGCCAAGGCTTGTCGATGTTTGCCTTCGGGACATCTCTCATACAGTCCCCCCTCTCTTCCGACACTGCTACCATCCTGGTGCAGACCCTCATCACATCAAGCCTGGAGTACTGTAATAACCTCCTGGTGGTTCTCAGGTTCAGCCCTCTCCCCACTCCAGCCCATCCTCCACACAGGGGTTCGAGTGATTCTCCCAAACAGCAGGTCTGACCATGTAACCCCCTATTCTATCGACTCCATCAGTTCCTCATCACCTCCAGGACCAAATATAAAATCTGCTCTTTGGCTTTTAAAGCCTTTACCAACCCAGTGCCCTCCAGGACTCTCTTGCCTTTCCAGTCTTTTTATACCACTTACTAACCCACCAATTTCTTGAAGATCCAGGGACACTGACCTCTCAAACAAGACCATCTGCCCCTTCTCTGGCTGTCCCCCATGCCTAAAACTCTCCCCCATCTCAGCCTCCTGACTTCTCTGACTCCCTTAGTCCTAGCTAAAATCCTGCCTTCTCCAAGAAGCCTTCCCCAAACCCCCTCCACGCGACCACCTTCTCTAAGACAATTTCCTATTTGTCTTGTTTGTATGGAGTCACTGCTCCTTGTCTGCTGTTAGACTGAGCTCTTTGAGGTCAGGGACAGAATTTGCCTCTCTTTGTATCCCTGGTGCTTAGCACAGTGCCTGGTACACAGGAGGTGCTTAATAAATGTTCATTGATTGACTTCTTATAGAAAGTGGGATCTTAGCTGAGTCTTGAAGCAAGCCAGGGAGGTCAGGACTGAGATATGAAAAGGAAGAGTAATCTAGACATGAAGCATGGTCAACAGCATCCTGGGGAGATCAGTGTGGCCAGCTTCCAGAGTCCCATGCCTGTGATTTCATCCCTTTGCCAGGGTAGGTGCCCAGGGCACTAAAAGATCATGGGACCTGCTCCAAGTCACCCAACAAGCATGGGTCAGAGACAGAATTTGAACCCAGCTCAGCTCAATTTAACACCTGCCCCCAAAGCACTAGGCACTTTAAAAAATGGACATTAACAGTTTACACTTTCAAACATCATCTTCTATTTTCCTCTGGATGTTGAAATGTTCATGTTTCTTGATGTTTGTTAAGCTCATTTTTAAAGTTTTTTTTTAAGGGAAAAAGAACGTGTTTGAGGGGCTTTCCAGAGTCAGAAGGAGAGTCCTCTGGGCCAGGCTGGGACAATAGAGGGTAAACATCTGGGGATCTTATTTCCTCAATCACTAGCTCAGTTTCCTAAGCTCCAAAACGCAGGGGGCTGGTGCTGGGGTGGGGGCAGGGAGGAGGGAGGCTCTCAAAGGACTGCTCCATCCAGCTGCTAATGTTAGTAATAGTGAGAAAGCGCAGAGTCAAGAAGGAGCTCCGTGCTGCGAGAACAACCCCCTCCCCAGCTCTGGCCCTGGGCTGTGGGCTAGACTGAACCTCAGGGAATGGGGGGATAAGGGGCATGTCT